TTAAACCATGCAAGCAACTGAAAATGTAAAAAGAAAAGAAACAGAAATTTTATTGAAGCATTTTCAGGATTCACAAAATTAGGGTCAGTCAACAGAATCCACAGGGGTGCCTCCCCCACACCCAGGAGGCACCAGTCACCGAGCCAGGAGGGCACAGGGGGGCCCTGCACACACCCTGGTGAACCAGGAAATGCTTCTGGTTCACTTATGGGTCTGCTGCCGAGCATGCTGGGGAGCCCCCCACACTTCTGTGGGATGCTGAATCTGTCCCAGCACCATAGCATTCAGAGCCTCTGCTACCTAGAGGTATGTAGAAAAAACATTTAAAGCTGTGTCTATGCCCAAATCACCAAATCTCTCCAAATCGATTTGGAGGGTTCTGAATCAATTTGGAGAGATTAAAGGGTCCTCTCATTCGATTTGGATTCAGAGATTCGGCCACCGAATCGGGCCGAATCTCCGCTGAATCAAATCAGGGACCAAAGCTTTGCACAGCCCTACTAGCCTTATTTATGAACCATCATTATCCTCTTAAGCCTTTCTGGACAGATCACTTTCTGCAAAGAGGCTGCAAGTGCAAAGAGAGTGGAATCATCAGACAACATCATCAACCTTTTCCTTCCCCTACTTGTTTCTTCCTACTTGATGACACCTTTCTTGTGCCATCTATTGTTTCTGATGCCCTCTGGGCATTCTTTCTCCCTACTCCACTTGCTGAGTACCCCACTTTCTTCCTCCCCTTCCTCTATTTATTCTTTGCCCTGATACCTCTCTACCAGTCCAGTAGGCTTCCTGAACTTCTTTTCTCTACCTGCTGGTATCTTTCCTTTTCTAGTTTCTCTTGAGCCAGGAACTTGGAATGCATTTTTTCTAATGTGCCCAAGTTATGCCTCTCTCTGTTCCCACTGATTTTAATGGTAACATGCCTATTGAGTTCAATAGGAACAGAGTTCGGCCAAGACTGAATGCTTTAAAAAATCTGACCTTTTAATACTTTGTTCCCCAGTTCTCCGTCACTAAACTGGGAATAACAACATTTCCTTCTTCCCAGGCCTCATCTCTGTGGTCTATTTAGATTGTAAGTTCCTTTGGGGCAGAAACTGTCTCTCACTGCATGGAGGAACAGTGCTTAGCATAATGAGGGCCCAGTCCTATTTAGGAGCCTCTACACACACCTGTGATGCAGACTCTGGTGAGAAGGGCAAGCTAGATTTTGGCTTAAATGCCATTTTCCTCTTACCTCACTCAACATTTTCATTTTTTTTCCAGTCCCAGATGGTATTCTCATATAGATTGGAGAAGAAGACACATGACAAACATATGACAACTTATGGAGATGGCTTCTTTTTTCCTTTTATTGAAAATGATTGTTTCTATTCTAGTGCAAACACTGTATATTTTACATCATAAAGCAAGATATAATTTACAGAATACATTTCCATGAGATTTTTGGAACCTTTCAGTGGCATTTTGCATCAATTCCAGCATCATCGGCATCATACTTTAATGTTTTTCCCCCACTTAAAATTCCATATATTTTACCACCCCCTCTTGCTTCTGGATAGAGCAGGGGTGGAGGTTAATCACCAGAACATGTGCAGGCTTGTAAGAGGGGAGACATGCCTCATGAACATTTTCTACCTTAAGGGTGCCCAAACTTTGTGATGCCATGAATTACCTTTGTAAGTTCCTAGAAGCCCACTCACTGCACCTGGAAGGTATGATTAAAGCCATGAATAGTTTCATGCTTTCAGGACTGAGCTTCTAATTTGCATACATATTTATACAGTTTTATAACTTACAGAGTAAACATATGTGATCATAATACTTTACTTTTGCTTGATAGATTAATAGAAATTGCCTTGTTGGTTGAAGTAATCAGAAAGGAAAAAAAACCTGGAATTGTTCAACATTGACCCCTGATTATATTTAGAAAAGGCAGCAAGCATTTGGGGTGTATTTTTAGAATCTGTAGGCTGCATCTGACTGGACTACCCTCTACTCAGACATACTGGAATTTATTTCACCATTGGGATGCCATTGAAATAGAATATCCCAATCCAAATAACAAGACAGAACCTAGAGAGATTGTCCATGGTGAAAATGCTACAATCATTGACTCACCTGCATAAGTTTATTCACCGAGTTGTCTCATTACAGCCAATGTGAAGCTTCACAGGAGTAAAGTTAGGCATGTGCATAAGTATTGGCAGGATCAGGGCCTTACTTAAGTTCTGGCATTTATATGCAATCCTTATTTTTATAGTCATTATAACTCAAGGAATACAAGATGGACGTCATTTGTACTAAACATTTTAATTTCACTGTCTCTGAGATGTTTTTCTTGCTAGCATAAGAAATGGTTCCTTTGCTTAGAAACCCCAAAACCACCTTGGTTAAATTGAAAGCAATGGCTGCTTGCAAAAAAATGTTTTGGTTTCAAAAACTGAGGGAGAGAAAAGGGATTATAAAAAATGTGTGAATTGGTCAAGAACTTTGGGCCTGATCTGCAGGTGGTATGAGTTCTCCAAAACTTCACTTATAACATTAGGTCAGTCTACACCAACTGAGTTGCAGCTTTTGATTCCAATTCAGGTGTGTGATTTTCCCTATTGCTCTAGTTGGTGCAAGATAAAGGGGGGGAGGGGGTGCCATGTTTGGATGTAAAAAAACATAAAGAAAGGAAATTAGAGTCTGAGGGCCTTTTCCTACAGGTATGCTATCATGATTGGCACTCACTGACACAGTGATCTGAAGAGTCCTGCGAAGATATATCATGGCCCTTTCCCCAACAGAGAAACCCAGTTTTCCAAAGGAAACAGTTTCTCCCTGCTGGGCAAGAGTATCTTGTAACTGTTCACAGTGTTGCATAATGTTTTTGACTTCCATCTGAATATCTCAATATGGCAGACTAGGAGAGTGAAGCATGGAAAGGTGCAATCCCTTTACCCAGGCCACCCAGTGATTCAGCGGCAGCTACAAGGACAAAATCCAGGAGTCTGGACTTCCAGTGCCCTAGTAACACAAAGTATCTAAGAAAATTGAAGATAACATAAAATGCTTTCCAGCATCCACAATTTCATTCTAAAACTTACTAGTATTCCCCTTAAGATCTTCCATGTCAACTTCTGCTTGGAAGTGGATCACTAAAAAAATTCCTTCTCCCTGTATGCACCTAAGTCCTATTGGAAAGGTATACTTCTAACACTTTTCTTTCATTTTTTCCTCTGCCATGCTACCAGCCCCTGCTGATAACCATGGCAAGGGAGTTGGTACAGAAGGGTCATTGTTATTGTAATCACTGTGCTGCCTCCCCCTGCTCTGTGGTCTATCCACACAGTGATTGAGACACATATGGTTGCCAACATTGCTACCACCTGCAGAACGGCACGTATGGTAGAATAAAAATAGTGCAGGCTTCATCGAAAATCCAAAGTTCCTCCCTACACCAAACATGAGATTGAGTTGAAAAATTTAATAAATTTTGGGTTCTGATGCTTTTTGGTTGTTTGTTTTTGCCTTCTGGATGTTGAGTGTTTAGGTTATGCATGGGTCAAATTTTCAACTTTTCTTCATAACCATAATAGCCAGAAACTTAAGATTTCTTTTTTAGTGAAAGCTAAAACCAGGAGCTGTGGCTTTAAGAACAAGAAAATTGGTGCAGTGGTGGGAAATCTGAGGAAACCACTAAGGCAGACATGATCATAGCAGCCATGTTCTAACATCAACACTTGATGCATGAAACTTCTTTGGACATCTCTAGCTATGTGTGAAAGTCTGGCCAGGCAAATTTCATTAGCAAAGCAGTGATAGATAGAAAAATAGAGGATGAAGGCCACCAAAGAGAATCTAAAGGCCAGTTGGTTTAAAAAAAAATCAACTCTGTTTTACAGGGTAAATTCCACTGAAGTTCAGAGGTGAAGTTCTCTCTTCCAGGGCAATGAACTTGTACATGGGCTGGACTGTAAAGACGGGCACCTGCTCTGGAATAGATATAGAACTGATCAACTTCTATGCTTCCAAAAGGCACCATGGTGTTATCTGTTAGATGAAACACAAAACAAAATCCTGAGTACTTTTAAGGCCTGCTGGTCAGCAACACGGAAGTTAGTGCAGCTTTGCAGTTGAGCTGGTCTGGAATTCTTCAATGAAGCTATTTTACTGAAATATATAGCTTTGTCAACAAATCTGTTTACACGACAAGATTGATATTAATGAATCTCTCAACTTGTTGGGTTTTTTTAGGGGAAAAGAGTTTCAAAATGATCAGAGTGTCCTGTTTCAATATTTTTAAACAGGAAAATTTGGGGGTCTTTTGAGTCAAAAGTATTTTTCATTTAGAATTTTTTTTTAAATTCACACTAACAAAAGGTTCAAAAAAAGAAAATAAGGTCAAAAAAGGTTAAATTAAAAAGAAATCATTCAAAATTACTAAAATGAAAGTCTGACTAGAACTGAAAGTGTTCTGGTTTTCAGTTTGCAGTTTTTTTTAGTTCTATTGGTCCAGATTCAAGAGGGGATTTTTTTTTGTAGGAATGTTTTGTTTTTGATACCTTAAAAAAGTGTCAAGAAATGAGAAATCTTTTCCCCACTCATGTCTCATTGTGGTCATTGGGGCTCTAACACTTTCCACCAGTTGTGTAAATGGACCTGTGCTTTTTCAAGCATTTACCCTTATACTCTGGCTAAATTTTAATTTATATTTTACCTATCTAATGTTCCACTTAATTTTAAATGGAGCATGGATCTATTTCTCACCTCCTGTAATATATTGTTTTAGGACATTGATGTCTATTCTCAGAATACTTCACACCCATATTGGGCAGGGGTGGAACAGGGACAAAACTAGCCAGGGCTGAGCTGGCTGAGCCAGGCCAAGACTCATGGAAATCCCAGGCAGAGGTTAAGATCTGGCCCCTCCTCTTCTCCTTCCCACACTTAAAAAGTCCTGGGCAACTGCCCTGATTGTTCATCCCTAAGGACACGAATGACTGACAGAAGCCACTGACGGTGGCAGCCCTGTCAGGGGGGCACCAGCCCTACCAACAGTATCAGCCACTGGGGGGGCACATGCACTCCTGTGCACCCCCTACCAGTCGCCTGTGCCTAAGGACTGGCTCTGCCTGGAAGAAGTAGTAAATAATACGTATTTGAGCCTTATTGGGAGAGGGGGTGTCAAGGACAAAATGTGATGCTGCTCCAGGCCACATTATCTTTATGTGGAAGCCCTCTGTATTAGGCAAAGCCTCCATAGGAGAGTCTGTTGGCTGGCACAGAGCTTTCATGCAAGTGAACCTGTGTCTCTTATGACTCTCCTGGTATCCACCTGGTTGCAGGGCCACACCCTTGACTTAAACCTTATTCCTAACAGGGGGAGATATGCAATGAGGTTCCCTATTGTTTTTCTCCAAGGATCTCTTCTGGCAAGTCCTATCACAGGAAAAAGTGATGCAGCCCTGAATACAGCCTTCAGGATTTGGTCCAATGGAAGCCTAAGTTTGCCTGAGCAGTGAGTTTTGCCTGAGTTAAGACTGGCTCACAGACTGTAAAGTGCTTTGGCACCCTGCAGAATGAAAAGTTCTCTCTGCATGATATAGGGTAGGGTATGCCCATAAATAGAAGTCATGTGGGTGAATTTGGCACTTGGTATAGATCAGTCTCTACAGGCACCTGGATGCAGCACAAACATCCCGAATACTTCCAATGCATTTTATTTTGTTTAATAATAAAAAAAAACACCAACCAAGCTTGCATGTATATCTTATATATATAAATATATACAGTATATATAAAACAAATGCATTTGGACAACACCTTTACCTGTGGCAAAAAATCAGAAGGCACGGGTGAAAAAAGTGAAAGTCCTATTCTTGGACCTACAATGATCTTCCCCTCTATACACATACACTCTGCCTTAAGGAGGGCTTTCTCTTCTTTGGTTTTTCAAAGAGGTGGTGCCAAAACTAATCAGAAAGCAACAACTAGTTTCAAAACCCAAGGAGACTGGAAATAAAACCCAATGTTCCAGGCCACTGAGACAGAGGGACCCACAGCTTTGCACACAAAGGCTTCTCAGAGGCTAAATGATAATGACTCTTCAGCTGTAGTCCACTCGTGGTCCAGATATCTAGGTCTTGTGGATATGCTGGAGAGGCTTTCGCTTCTGAATTCCCTCTTCTAGGGTGACCTGGGGCATAGGAAGTGAAGGGGCAAGCACTGAACCTCAGGACAGTCTAGAGTTCAAGGGCTGAACTGATAGGATTTCGTTTTGCAGTCTTGTCCAAAACACAAAAAAAACAAGAATGGGATTCTCCTTAACTGAAGAAGCTCATAGTATATTGAGCAGAAGCTATAAACCTGATAAGAATTGATGACATTATCCAGAAAGGAAGAAAGAACATTGTAACTAATTTGCAGCTCATTTTGCTCCTGTTTCTGTCCCAATATTCTGTGTGTGAGTGTGTGTGTGTGTGTGTGTGTGTGTGTGTGTGTGTGTGTTTCGCCCTCTCTTTCTGAACAAGTTGCTAAGCAGGACAGGTGTCATTTTATTTTTCCCTTCTTTAAGACTTAGCAGCAGTCTTTAATTGACTGTTGGCACCTGATTCCTCTGTAAACTATATTCCTTTGCCTTCAGTCTCAGGTTGGCAATACTGTTGGCCATGTTCATGCCCTGTGCTGGGCTAGTATTGGTACATGTGGCGGAATAGGTAGCCATAGCACTGTAGAAGAGAGAGAAAAGGGAGAAAAAGAAAAAAAAATCAATCAGAACGTTTTAAAATTCAAATGAAAGCTGTATTTGAGCTTGAAAGTGGTAGCTAAGTGAGCAGGTATTGGCCTGATATGTGCCCAGGTGTATAATGCATTGTTTTACTGGAGACAGCCTTTCCGGAGGGAGCGAAGTAGCCATATTTTAGCATCCAGCAATTGATCTATCTAAGACTATATGAAGCGTGCACTGCTCCATACACTCGAAACCCCTGGCCAGAAGCAGTATAGCAGTGTCCACACATTGCTCAGGGCAGACTCACCAGCACTGGTGAGTGACTAAAAATATATACAGTACAAAGTCATTATAATGAACCCCCATGGGATTGGGAAAAACAACGTTCATTAAGAGAGGGTGTTCACTATAAGAGGGTTAGTCAATTGGCTGCATTGTCATTGGCAGTCCCTCGATACAAGGATGACAGTCTTCCAGTAAATGGGAAAGTCATCGGTGAGTCCATAGGTGACTGAGGAGGCCAATCCAAGATCCTCACGTTCGACTGGCTGTATCACAATAATGAGAAAAATGTTGGTTCCTGCTGTTGGGATCATTAAAAGCTAGGGTTTGTTAACAAACAGGGTTCACTATAATAAGGATGGATATTATTATATCCATTGTCCTAAGTTGCTTATTTCAGCAAAGCAGACCCATTAAACAAGATTCTTGTTGGCAGTTTGTTAAATTCTACCCCCTGCAAAGAAGGCCAGCCTGGGATTGCGTACAGCTTCATGTATGGAACAACATGCACTTTTCCATCCCAGACAATTTCTGTCAGACTCTCATGCTTACTGTTATTTTATGTCTGTCTCTAATGTTTGTTGAGTAACAGGGCCAAGAAGAGAAAGCTGAGCTTCATACCAACAGCCACCAAGAAACAGAAAGGACCAAGAACACCCACATGTCTCCCTGCTTAGTCTTGATGCTGTACTGATAGCAGTCCATGACTTAGCTCTAGGAAAAGCTCTCTGGGTGCTCCTGAGAGTTTAGCAATGATTTGAATCACCTTTTTTGGTTCCCACTGAATATATAAACTGTTTCCTTTGCATTCTTGATGGAACTGTGAGGGGTGGCAAATTGGGCTTTTATCGCTGAATAAGACCTCATCAGCATTTCCATCAGGAAGTTTTGTTCCCACTGTTCTTTTTTCTATTGTTTCCTTTCTTGGGTCAGACTAAAGTGGTAAGTCTCTTTGAAGCCACCATGCTTCAACAGCACAAGAAAACTTTTTATGTGGATGAGAAGTGGTGCATAAATTCATTGTGGAGCCAGTTGCCACTCAGCAACTTGGGACCTGTTCTTGTGAATGGGCAGTGCATACATGACCTATCAGACTTCTCTTTAAGGGCCTGATGCAAAACTTCTTTTCGTCAATGAAAGTCTGTCCACTGACTCCCAATAATCATTGGAACAAGTTCATAGCTGGAACATTATAAAAGTTTGCACTGTTTCTACTTCATATTAATTTTGTGACTGGAAAATACA